GGAAAAGCGGAATTGCTGGCAAGTTCATTCGTTCTGATGAGATGCCCTCTGCATTTCTTTACTTGCTATCAAATTTCTCCTCTACCACAATCCACAATGACTCTGTGCCATATCTCACCTCATCATTATACAATGATACAAGACTGGTTATGAGTTTTTGGGGCCAAATTCAGTATCTGATGTGGGATACTGAGAAGGTTTGGTCTTTAATCTGGGCAGATCCTAGAGATAGCTGCAGTGTGTATAATGCATGTGGTAATTTTGGTAGTTGCAAGAGCGAAAATGGTTTGGTTTGCAAGTGTTTGCCCGGTTTCAAGCCTAGTTCACCAGAAAATTGGAATGGAGGAGATTATTCAGCTGGATGCAGTAGAAAGTCAGGAATATGTGGCAATGGTGCTGTGAGTGACATATTCTTGAGTTTAAAGATGATGAAGGTGGGAAACCCGGATTCTCAGTTTAATGCCAAAAGTGAAATGGAATGCAAAATAGAGTGCCTCAACAACTGCCAGTGCCAAGCTTATTTATACGAGGAGGTTGAAATCACACGAAGGGGTGGAAGTAGTAGTTCTACATGTTGGATTTGGTCACAGGATGTCAGCAATCTTCAAGAGGAGTATGACAGTGGCCGGAACCTACAGGTTCGTGTAGCAGTTTCAGATATAGGTATGATTCTCTTACTTATTTAAACATCATTTTGTTCTTAAGCAAACGAACTATGAAAAACCACAGTAGTTATAATTGGTTCCGAGCATGTATGCTATTTTATTTACAACAATGACCACTACTGTGAGAGTTACTAACATGATTATTCAATGCAATGTGGTTTACCCTTTTCCTGTCTTGGATCCCATTTTGGTTTTCATCTTATTCATGAGGAGTTAGCAAGTTGAAAACCCGACATCCTTTGTTAGATAATCACCTTGGCCAAATGCTGTTTATAAATTTGTATTATATTTTTGCAGAATCAACATCGAGGAATTGTGAAACTTGTGGTACAAACATGATCCCTTATCCCTTAAGCACTGGACCAAATTGTGGTGATCTTACATACTATAGTTTTCAGTGCAACATCTCCACGGGCCAGGTTAGCTTTGAGGCACCCGCTGGCACCTACCAAGTCACAAGCATCGATCCGGATACACGAAAGTTTGTGATCCAAGCCAAAAATGCAGATGACTGTAGAAACAAAAATTTCCTGCAGCTCAACCAATCATCTCCCTTTCATTTGATCAGCAGGTGCAATGCTGATCCGGCCAACTTTAGTTCTGATTTTTCATTTAAAGCAGGAGATGAAGTTGAAATTTCATGGGATCCACCATTGGAACCACCTTGTTCTTCATCCACAGACTGCAAGGACTGGCCCCATTCTACTTGTAATGCTTCTCAAGAGGGGAAGAAGAGGTGCCTCTGCACCACAAACTCTAAATGGGATAGCCTGACTTTGAATTGTACTCAGGGTAACCATACTTATACTATGCATGCAAAACTGTGCCATGAATGATGCTCCCTTTTATGGCTATGGATAAAGAATGAATTAGTACTCTGTTGCTAAGAGCAGTGATATTGAATGAAATTTGTTCAAATGAGAACGAATGCAACTCTTATAAATCTAGAGTCAATTTTGCAGGTCTACTGCTTACGTGTCTTCCAAAAATATACCATAAACTAGATAAAATTATTATTTTTAATTGCAGAAGATAGTGATTCTCTTTTCTTCTCTAATTTTTGCAGAAGTTGGTTACAGTAGGCAAACTGGTGCGCGAGGAAAGATGACCTTGGCTCTAATCATTGCATTAACTTTTATAAGTGTAGCTGTTCTAGCTCTTCTCTCAAGTACCTTCATTTATACTTATTTATGGAGAAGGAGGAGGGTCAAGGGACAAGGTAACTAGTCATATATCCACCACATGAATTAAGTTATTTGCGGCTTCATTAGTATGAATCGTTGGGGTCTAATAGTATTAAGTCTTTGAATTCAGGAAGCAGGAAAATCCTTCATAAGAATTCAGCGCTTTATTTATATGACAGTGAGAGAAAAGTTAAAAATTTGATTGAATCAGGCCGATTTAAAGGTGATGATACACAAGGCTTTGATGTACCCTTTTTTGAGTTGGAAAGCATACTGGTTGCTACAGATTACTTCTCCAATGCAAATAAACTTGGACAAGGGGGTTTTGGCCCTGTTTACAAGGTAATGTACCTTTAGTAGACATCATGGTTCAATATTAACTTGTTACCGGTAACTAATGTAACTTTATTCGGATTGTACTATCAGGGTAAGCTTCCAGGAGGACAAGAAATCGCTGTCAAGAGGCTCTCAAGCTGTTCAGGACAAGGATTAGAGGAATTCAAAAATGAGGTTCTGTTGATTGCCAAACTCCAACATCGAAACCTGGTTCGACTATTGGGCTATTGTGTTGAGGGAGATGAAAAGATGTTAGTCTACGAATATATGGCCAACAAAAGCTTGGACTCATTCATATTTGGTTAGCCTCTAGTTATATTTCTAAAGTTTTTCATTCATATGACCCTATCTATATTCATTGAAAGAAACTAACTTACATGTAATGCTCTTGGATGGAAAATAATACCTTGCCAGACCGAAGACTATGCATGCTATTGAACTGGGATATGCGCTTCAATATCATTCTGGGAATTGCTCGGGGGCTTCTTTATCTTCACCAAGATTCTAGGTTAAGGATTATTCATAGAGATCTCAAAACCAGCAATATTCTTCTAGGTGAGGACATGAACCCCAAAATCTCTGACTTTGGTTTGGCTAGGATCTTCGGAGGCAACGAAACTGCAGCAAACACTAGTAGAGTAGTCGGAACATAGTAAGTTTTTTTGAAGCAGATGGTATTTAACCTTTTCATCAGCATCATTTGTAGCTCAATTTTCAATCAATAACCTCCAGACAACGGTGAACAATCAGATATGAATTCACTGACTCAAGTTACAATTCTTGTATTGCAGTGGCTATATGGCTCCAGAGTATGCATTAGATGGGTTATTTTCAGTTAAATCTGATGTCTTTAGCTTTGGCATAGTTGTAATTGAGATCATCAGTGGGAAAAGGAACACAGGATTTTTTCAGCCTGAAAGATCGTTGAGTCTTCTAGGCTATGTGAGTGCTTGAAACGTTTCATCCCCAACTAATATCTTTTTCATCCTTACACCTTACATTTTGTAAATTCATACCAGGCATGGCATTTATGGAAAGAAGAGAAGGCACTGGATTTGCTGGACCAGACACTTTGTCAAAGCTGCAACAAGGATGAGTACTTGAAATGTGTCAATGTTGGGCTCTTATGTGTACAAGAAGATCCCGGTGATCGCCCAACCATGTCACAAGTAGTTTTCATGCTAGGCAGTGAAACTGCAACTATTCCAGCACCCAAACAACCCGCCTTTATTGTTAGGCGATGCCCTTCTAGAAGTAGCAGGGCTTCTTCTTCAAGCAAACCTGAAACATTCTCTAACAATGAGTTAACCGTCACATTAGAAGATGGTCGGTAACCAAAGCAGTTCTTATGCCTCTTATCTTCATCATTGTGTCAAGTTAGTGCATCAGCATGAAATTTTATGATTCATTTTTCCTGTTTCTTTGCTTATAATCTGTAAGTGTAATTTTTGTCGGTGCTGTAATATTTGGAACTTTTGGGTACAAGCACCGATGTTCAAGAAGCAAGGCTCATCTGATTTACCCTGTTCCAAATTGCAGCAATCTAATGTAACTTATGTGAACGCACAAGTCAATTGGGTTCCAAAATTTTTATTTTCTCTGTTTCAAACTAAACAACCAGCCAGTACAAATCAACCAGAACAAAGAAGCTAGCCAAAATTAGGTGGTAGAAGGGAGGTATCATTCTAGAAATCAGACTTTTTTTGTCCTATAATGGAAGGTGATCTCATTCATACTTTGGCCTGAGTGGCTTGGGAAATAGTACATCTGAACATGATAAATGGTAACCGCATCAGCTCCTGTTGTCCCAACAAATTTATATTACTATTGAACATTAATTTGGACTTAACAATTGATGCAATTGAGGTGCTTTAGAAGAAACATATGATGCCTATTTTGAATGGAAGAAACACAATTATGGTGTGAACTTTCATTAGTCTTCTTCTTTATCTGTCTCTCTGGCTCTGAATGGAGTGGCTCTTTCTTTCTCTTGCTTAGCTACTTTTATCCCTTGTCTTGCCAATTTGTACCGGCCAAGACAATTTGCAACCAGGAAAATCTATCACCGGAAACCTGACCTTGATTTCTTCCCTAGGGACCTTTGCATTAGGCTTCTTCAGTCCTGAAAATTCTACCAAATACTTCCTTGGTACGTATATGGTACAACAAAATCCCGAAGACACCAATAGTATGGGTTGCTAACAGGGAATCCCCTCTTGATTCTCTGGGTGTCTTTACCCTCAGCAGTGATGGGAATGTAGTGGTGTTGGACATCATGGATAGGACTAGAAAAGTTATCTGGTCTTCTAATATATCGGTACCTGCTTCAGCTATGAAGGCAACAACTGGTGTACTAATGGATAATGGAAATCTTGTACTTAGACTTGGAGAAGATACTCTGTGGCAGAGCTTCGATCATCCCTTTGATACATTTGTGCCTGGCATGAAGCTTAGCTTGAATACAAGGACGAGCCAACAAAGAGGTCTTACATCTTGGGCAGCACTTAATGATCCAACCCGGAAATTTTACCTTAGGCATTGATCCTAAAGTGCCTGGCCAGACTTTTTTCTGGAAGGAAAATGCTCCATATTGGAGAAGTGATCTGTACATTGGCAAACAGACAAACACAGCCTTTGATGTTGATGGTGAAAATGCTCCATCTTCAAATGGAACCACTTATTTCCTTCCTTACAACTTTGAGGCTGATGGGGTTTATCTAACTTATGGTGTCTCAGATAGTTCAACCAAACTGAGGGTCATATTGAATCCAACTGGGCAGATTAAGCTGCTTCTGTGGCTGGAACACAGTGAAACATGGTTTGTATGGTGGAGGAAGCCTTTTGATCAATGTGATTTTTATGCTCATTGCGGTCCATATGGTGCCTGCAGTGGTAAAAATGAAACCCTCTCATCACCATGCAAGTGTTTGACAGGTTTTAGGCCAAAATTCCAAAAACAATGGGATATGGGGGATTGGCTCGGTGGCTGTGTTTGAGAGAAAGCATTGATGTGTAATAAGGAAGATGGGTTTTCAAAGATTTCGAAGTTGAATTGAAACTACCAGATCAGGCTGTTCTTTTAGAAAATAAGAGTATGAGTGAGTGAATCTAAATGCCTTCAGAACTGCTCTTGCACAGCTTATGCTTATGCAAATGTGTCACAAGGAAACAATATAAGATGTCTGACATGGTTTGGTGACTTGACGGATCTTGTAGAGAATCAAACTTTTGGGCAAGATGTTTGTATTCATGTTCATGGCTCCCAACTAGGTAAGTTTGATGAATTTCTTCTTCTTTTTTTGTGCATGGATTTGTCAAATAGAAATCATAGCAGACAACAAATAGTTGGCCATAAATGACACTTAAGCCATCAGTTTTATAGATCATGCCTTTTCTTTTCTTGGCAGGTAGTAAGAGTCATTCTCATAGTTTATCGAAAAGTCCCTTGTAATTGGAATAGCCTCAGCAACAGCGGGATTGATTACAATTGTTTTTGGCTATTTCTTGTGGAAGAAGTACTTGGGAATGAAAGGTAGTGCTTCTCTTGCTCTTTCTCACTCACACAAACACATACACACACGTGTAGGGGCACAGATTCTTGTGTTCCAAACAAACGATGCTCTAACAATAAGAACGAAACAGAGAGCGCGGAAGGCAGTCTGAGTGCTGAAGCTGCAAAGAATGATACAGAGCTACCACTCTTCACTTTAAGGAGAATTTTAGCTGTAACAAACAACTTCACTGAAGCTAATAAACTGGGAGAGGGAGGATTTGGCCCTGTTTATAAAGTGACACTTTAGTGTTGAGCTCTTAATACAAGTACATTGTTCTCCATAAGCATGATAATTTCTTTTGGACTTCTCTTAATTAAGTTTCCCCGTAATTCTGATCGGTAAGGAGTTGGTTCTCTCTTTGTTGGATTTTTCTTCCACTACAGGGGATTTTTTCAGAAAATCAAGAAGTAGCCATAAAAAGGCTGTCCAAGAAGTGAGGACAAGGACATGAAGAGTTCATGAATGAGTTGAAGCTTATAGCCAAGCTCCAACACACCAATCTTGTTAGGCTCCTAGGTTGCTGCGTTGAAGAGAAGGAAATGATATTGATCTATGGGTACATACCCAATCGAAGTTTGGACAAACTTTTGGTTGGTATATGATCACCACAACTTCTAAGATTAATTCTTTGATTTTTTATTTTATTTCTGGGATATCACATTTGATTGCTTTCTGCAAGATCTTTTTTCATGTGTACAAAAAGCTTTGTAGAAGAAAAACACTAAATTCATTTTCCTCATGGTTTGTCCAATTAGATGCATCTGCTAAGGCAAAACTAGATTGGGGTAAACGCTTTCAAATTATAGAAGGTACTGCTCAAGGAGTACTTTATATCCACAAATTTTATGGACTCAAAATCATTCACAGGGACCTAAAAGCAAGTAATATACTGTTGGATGGAGCAATGAAGCCCAAAATTTCATACTTCGGAATGGCAAGGATTTTTGGGATGAATCAAACTGAAGCACATACCAAGAGGGTTGCTGGGACATAGTAAGTGTGTGAGCAAATTTCCCCACGAGAATATTCGATTGGAAAGATTCCCCTTTCTTCTTCGCCGCCTCTTTCTCCCTGCAAATAGAACCAATAAGAGGACCACACCCGGGGGGTGTTGGCCAAAGGCCCTCCGATGCCTAAATTAGTTCAAGAGTTTGTAAGAAAAACACTAGCTAACTAGGGTACAGAGATGTGTTTATGGTGTAAACCAGGCGGCCGGAGCCTTATGTAAAAGAGAGAGAGAGAGAGAGAGAGAGGAGGTGGCTAGGGTTTGAGAGGAATTTTCTGCAGAGTTTTAGTAGAGATTTTAGATGTAACTCAATCCTTGTGTGTGACCATCCTTTTAGAGTGGTCTCGAAGGCTAGGGTTTCAGAGGAATAATTTCGTAGATGGAAAAGAATTATTCCTCCTTGATTTGGAATTGATTTGATTAATTAGGGATTTGATTTATTAGGGTAAATTAAATCCCTAATTGTGGTAGGTATCAAATCAATTCCTAATTTGATTAGGTAACTCCTCATTTAATTGGGAATTGTGGTAGGAATCAAATCAATTCTTTATTTAATTAGGTAACCTTCAATTTAATTGAGTAACCCCCAATTAAATTGAGTAACTCCCAATTAGGTTGAGTAATTCCCAATTAGGTCAAATAATCCTCAAATTGAAGGAATTATTTGACCTAGGGTCTGATTTAATTCGGTTCCCACAAATGCCCCCCATCTTTTGCATGATGCATGGTGACATGCAGGAGATGTGACTCCTTTTGCAGATTGAGTTCTCAATTGGAGTGAGCTTTTGACTGTTCTTAGAGTTGGGTTCTCAATAGGAATGGGCTTGTGATTCCTTCTTGACCTAGGATGCCCAACCTGTGTAAATGCAAGGCTTCTCTTCACTCTTCTTCACATCGCAAACTTAATTTTTCTACTTTCAAGCTTGAGAGAGATCATGGAGAATTTGTACTGCTTGTCAAAGAGAGGAGTCGCCATGCATCCCAAGGTAAGTCGAGTACGTATATTTCTTTTTCTTCGTCCTTTTTTGTTTTTTTGTTTTTTTTTTTTTTGCGGTGAAGGCAAGCTGGGGGAAGTCCGGCTAGTTGTTATCGTGACATGCGACGGTTGGCAGTGGGCGGCAGCTGTGGTGGGGCAGGTGAGCGCAGATGGACCAGCTGCTGCATATCATCGCAGGTCTGGGCTGGAGCATGCTGGGCCTCGCTCGTTGCAGGCCTCGTTAGCTAAGCGGGTATCCGGAGGAAGTTAGTGGTCTGCCCCCTACCCAGGATGTTGAGAGATGGAAGCATAATGGTCCAGACTTGGATGATCTGTTGGATGGGCAAGATGAGTGTTCTTTCGGACTCCCCTTCAAAAAGAAAGGCTGATGTCAAGTCTTCAAGAAATGAAGCTACGAATTCACTGGCGAAAGATGTGTCTCCATTGAGGAAGAAGCTAAGGATCCCTTCTATTGAGAAGACTCAAGTGAGAGCTGTTTCATCGTCATCTGCCAGGGTTAAACATCTCGTTGGTGTAAATAGTAGGAAGGTTGGTGGTATGCACGGTGTTCGAGGTGTTCTACCCGAACCTCCTGCTGACAAGTTTGAAAACCATGATCTGCTTCTTGGAACAGCTCGTGCCCGATTTCGTTTTGCCGAGTGTCAAAGAGATGCAAATATTCCTCTTCAAAGTTCGAGTCGTCTGCATCAATCAAAGGATGAAGATCGAAGCAGGAAGTCTGCTTATGATCTAGCTGTTGAGTTACGAGCAGCCAAGCATGGAGTTGGTTCAGCATCATTGACTCCTTTGGAGGTGAGGTTAGCGAAGGCTAAGAAGAAAATAGAGTCATCTGCCCAGGCAAAGGGATCTTCAGCGTCGGCGGTTGATCCCAAGGTGGACAAGCCCAGCCCTACAGGGGATGCATGCGTGTCTGTCCTATTCAAGAAGAACTTTCTATCAAACCCATCATCCTGTGCTAAGTTGGTCGATCACATCCGTCAGGCCGGCGATCTTTGCATCTTCTCGAGTCTTTCCTTGGAAAAACAAAGGGAAGCAACATTTCATCTACTTAAAAAATGAGTAGTTTTTGCTGCTGAAACTATCCAAAACTTGTCTGTTGTTGCCCTCTCTACTGCTGTTGACTTGGTTAGTCAAAAAGATGCCTACTTCTGTCTTGAGCGTAAGAATGCTGACGTCTTCTTTAGTTATGACAAGCTTCTAGCAAGATTTGGCGCCTATAACAAGTCTGTTGAAAAGTCCAAGTTCGAAGCTACCATGAATGCGTACAAGCTGGGCTACTTGGACTGCTCAACGCCATTGGAGATGGTGACATCGAGATGCTTTGTTCTGACTTGCTTCCAGTTCAAAGTGAGCAGGTTAATGCTGTGAACATGGAAGGAGTTGAAGAGCAGGCGGTCGAAGAGGCGGTAGCTGAAGAGGATGAAGAAGAGGAGGATTCAGCAGATGAGGTAGTGACAGACATCGCAGATCAAGCAGGTGGAGCTGCTAAGAACGTGGCTGATCAGGGATCTCCTGTTGGAGTCTCGGAGTAAATGAAGACTATTTTATTTCTTTTCAGCTTTTGTAGTATGCTTTCTTATGTAAAATAATTGGTCTTGTTTGACCATCTTCTTTTTGTTGAACTTGGTGGGTTGGTTAGCTTGTTTAGCGAGATTTCAGTTATTTTTTCAACTTCAATTTGCCTATTGTCTTGCGAATTGCTTGAGTAACCAGCCCGTATCTTGATGGTGTCTCTCTTAGGAAATTTATAGATGCCAGGGTCCCCCTTGAGGGATTTCGGGCATATTCGACATGTCTCGTAAGATGTTTTTTCTTAGAAAGTTGATAAGTGCCAGGGTCCCCCTTGAGGGATTGCGGGCTTGTTTTGCACATCTCGTAGGATGCCTTAGTCGTCACCCTACGTCGCCCGAAGGACTCTGCTTATGGGCAACTGTATGACTATCCTTCCTCTCTTAGGAAACGGATAGGAACCTGGATACCTCCCTCAAAAAGCATGGAGACCTTCTTTTGGAAATTCTTGGCGCACCTTGCGTCTCTCTTAGGATGCTTTTTAGTGGTCTACGTCTCCCAAAGGACGCTTGTAGTCGTCGCCCTACCTCTACCTTAAGACGCTCCTTATGGGTAATTGTGTGACTATCCTGCCTCCCTTAGGAAACAGATAGGAACCTGGATGCTTCCCGTAGGAGGCATGGAGACCTCCTTTTAAGAAATTCCTGGCACACCCTACGTCTTCCTTAGGACGCTTTTTGCCGGCTGAGTATCCTGAAGGACACTTATGGTCGTTGCCCTGCGTCTCTCTTAGGACGCTCCTTATGGGCAACTGTATGATAAGACCCGCCCTGAATTCCTCGGAACCCGGAACGAATCCTGTGAAAAATCCGGCATCCCACAAATGCCGGGCCCACTCACTAAAACTATAGCCTCCTTTCCCAAAAAGGAATAAGGGCATGAGACTTTCTACCAAAATTTTGGTAGAGTCTGCCCTGTAAATTGAACATTTCTCAAAACTTCTTAACCTGTTAAAACACATTTAATAACACCAACCAACAACATGCACCATATAATTTCATACAATTCACATAATCGGCCTCCAGCCTTCACATAATTGGAAACAGAACTGCCAACAATGTTCTTGAATCGAAATAATGCATTAAACAATGCAGATAATACACTCAAACTTATTTATGAATGCCCACTGCAAATAACATAAATTAACTTCCCAAATTCAATCATGCGAGGTTTAACCTCCTAACACAATCGCAAGTAGTTTAAGGCCTCAGCCCAAATTGTACGACAATCCAAAACGGGTTTTATACATGTTTTAACCAGAACACATTTACACAACCCTCCCTTAGCCAAACGGGAGTATGAGCAATTATTTAATCGTACCTCGGTTTCCATCGAGTTTCAGGACCAATGACAAGGTCAGAACCAAACTCAATAAAACAACATAATTAAAATATAGTCCGCGGCTGCACCTAGGTACGACCCTAGGCTACCTACGTACCCCTTGTGAGGGATCACACCACACATAGTTCTTCCTACAACAAAAATCACAATTCCTTAAATATCATAAAAGGTTGGAACAATCTTACATTTGTAACCCGACTCTTAAATTCTTTAACTTAATAATACAACACAAACCACATTTAAGATTCAAAACTCTCGAATCAAACCTTCTACATAAAACCATACCTGTAACCACCCGTATAGCGCATATTCTTCTATCACCCATCAAGGGTATATGGAACACATAGTTTCATCCGAAGGCAACCTTTATATTTTCCGAAGGCACCAATATAATATTTTCCGAAGGCAGCTGGTATATTTTCCGAAGGCAACAATATAATCTTTTCCTAAGGCAACCGGGGAATGGGGCAAACTAGCCAACCACCTGTGTAGACAAATCGGGTAGGTGGCTAGGGAAAATCCTGGCTGGACACCTGCAAAGTGATCTCAATGCAGGTACAGGCAAATCACTAGCCGGACACCTACAGAGTAATCTCTATGTAGGTACATGCAATACACTAGCCGGACACCCACATAAGCAGGTACATGCAATATCCACGGGCCGGACACCTACAGAGTAATCTCCATGTAGGTATAGGTAATTCAAATCATGTGCACACACTTTGCCGAAGGCAATCGACCCAGTTCCCAAATCCTTTGTCCAAACTGTCATAAAAATTTCACCATTTCCATAAATCCACTTCCCCAACACCATGTTCCCAATCCTTTCTCGACTTCCCAAAGATCCGCTTATCAGCAAATGAACAAATCCCTTTGTAAACCGAGACCAATCCATTAACAAATTTCATAAACCCTTTCCAATAACCCCATGTACATCAACACATATCCAAGTATAAATAACTATACTAAAAAATAGCACAAATTCATTCGAAATAATCACATCACGCAAACATACAAAAATAATTCCAATACCCTGAAAATCATTTCATATTTCCACTTCAAGACATATAATAACTCAAA